AAAAAAATCTCTTATATTTTAGACTTGTGAGTGGGTACATTTGCATTAAAGTGAACAAATTACAGAGCACTGTGGGTTATGACCTTTCTGCTGTGAGTGATATAAGTGCCTCTTAGCCACCTGTTGTAACTGCTGACATTAGCAGCTGACATCTATATGAATGTTTTCCTGAAAAACAAAACAATTCACCCACAAAGACGACAATGTATATCCAGTCCATCTTATGAGCTAATCTTGGACCCAGTGCTAAAATGAATGACCGTAAGGACCAGGCCATATCAGGGTTGATTTACCTGTTGATGGAGCATAGCGTGATTAAAAATAACACGATTACTGTGGTTTAGCTGACATATAGATTGAGATATATGGTGTCAGGGAAGAACAGTGCAGCTTACTTTAATGGAAAATATTAACAAGAGTTACTGAACTTGATGATGATGATTCCTGACTTACAAATCAAACAATGACAGTAAAGTGTGTAAACAGCTCACTGGTCGGGGATGTTTTACCCAAGGATATCAAAGAAACAAAGTTTCATGATTATCTGAACCCTCACCATCCTCGTTAACTCGAAGAAACCTCAGAAAATAAAAGTTAGCCTTTTCCATCAGTTACACAGTCGATGCTAAAGAGTAAAAGCACTTTAAACAAACTAAGTCAAACTCTGAGTGGAGACTTGGGCTGAAATTGGCCATTTACTGTGCCAAACTGGTGTGATTTTCTACAACAGCAGACTATTCAGTTCTGCTTTTAATGTTGCTGAATGGACTAACACCCACATCACAACTGTCAGTTTCAAGCATCTCTCTCACTCTTCTCTCAGCCTATTGTCTGTCCACCCCCCCACTCCATTTCCTCTTCCGCCATTGGTTAAAAAGCAAACTGTGTGTATGTGTGTCGATGAGTCAGCATGAGTGGTGGGTGTGAGATATAAAACGGCATGGGTGGCTGCGGGGGAAGGGGGAGGGGGGGGTGAAAAAGAAAGTAAAGTGGGGGACGGAAGCAAAAGAGAAAGAAAGAGAAAAGCAAGAAAGTAGGTAGGACGCGCACACGCACGAGGTGGACAGGGTCATGCTTATATTCTTGTTTTCATATTTCTCAGTGTTTAAAGGAAAAGCATGTGAGGAACATGAATGAGCAACATAAGAGTGTAAAGGTGTACCCTGAACATCCACACCAGCTAAACTATTTGAATCATTGAAAGAAACATACCTGAGGTTTGACCAATTAGAGTTCTACACATAGTTACAAACACCAGCAACCTATTATGTGAGAGATACAATGCAGTTTTATGTTCTTTGTAGCAAAGGCTGTCATTATCTTGGGGTTTCGATTTTCCTGTGCCAGAAAATAATTACTGCTTTTGAGGCTATTTTAGCACCACACGCTGCACTTCAAGTGAAATTATTTATTTTCTTTTTGAGAACAAAAAAATCGAACGACGTATTCATCAAAACACTTGTGCCGAGAGCTTCTTGCTGTGACACGTTTTACGCTTTGCAGCCCATTTGTAGGTTTACAACAAACACCACTTTTTTCTGGCTTCATTTCTTTTTCCTGTTTTCCTTATAAGACTCGATG